GATACAAGTATGCCTTTGCAAAATTTGAATTTTTTACAATTCATTTTTACTAATCTTGTATAACTTATATAACTATTATCCAGTTGAGATATACCTCTACAACATAAATTTTCCTCAACTAATTATATGCTTCGGTTTTCATCTTCAAACCTTGGTCATATAATTTTAAACTTTTAATAATAATTTCTGAATTTTTAATATTAAAAAATCTTTTGTATATATACTAATATTTTTACTAGTTTAATAGGAGATAGATTACACACCCGAACCAATAAAAATTTCAGGATTTGTATAAAAATTGGAAGTCATGGATGAACTTATTCATATCTTCCTCATTAAGAATTAAATGAAACAAAATTCTTTAAGTATTTCAGGTATTGATAATCATTATCTATTTAGAAGATCTCGAATATGTCAAAGGAGATTTGGCTAAAGTCTAAATTGTGAATCTCATGATTATAACCTTAAAAATAAAAGTGATTTTCGTAAGTTACTGATTTGCATAGAGTCCAATAAGAAAAAGGAAATCGAACCATGAAATAGAAGGGAATAATCTCATTAGTATTCATTATATGAAAGAGTAAATGTTATTTAAATATAAACGCATATATTGTTAAATCTATACATATTTATAAGCAATAATAAATGAAACCAAACAAGTAATTCTATAGAATTAAATCTTAATAACAAATAAATGATCTCTTTAGTTTTTTATTTGATATTATCATTATCATTGTAAAAGATGATACTCCAGATTATTTTCTTATAGAGTAATTATATGAATATTTTTATAAATTACTAATTTAAAAAAAAAATTAAAAATTCAAATGTTATTAAAATGTTAATTCCATCAGAAAATAGATTACTAATCTGTTTAAACTCAGGGTTTATTATTGTTTTGTAATTCTTAAAAATGCATATTTCGAATATCATATTTTAAGAGAAGGATTAGTTAGAATAGAGCAAATTAAAAAGGCTATACAAAATGCATGATTGTTCTTTTATATTAATAAATAAATCATTTTGCGATCTTGTTTGAAGTATACATTTTCTGGCTTCTTTAATATCAGTTCTACAGTTGCATTATTGATTTCTAAAATTCTATCCAACAAAAAATATTTGTATTGAAATATTTAAAACAAAAAATTATATTATTTTTATCCAATCACTTATAGAGAAAAGCTAGTATTTCCAAAAAAAACTTGAGTTTTAGAAGCATTGAGAAAATAAATTGGCTTTTTATAGAGCTAGAGTAGAGGACTTTGGTTTAAATAAAGGGGGCCAAATTAAACATTTTAAATTTTATTGCGAAATCAATTTCGATTGATTTTTTGAAAAAATATATATTAAAATTATAAACTTTTCATGAAAATAATTGTAATTTATTTAAAAATAATATTTTACTGGAAGAAAACATTGCATTGTTTGATGATCTAATAAAATTTGAGAAAAAAATATGATTAAATTACGATTGAACATTATTTTATGAAGAATTTTCTGGAGAATAAGATGACAAGAATAAGACACAAGAATTATTATAAAAAGTATTAATAATAATAAGGACTAATATATTTTCAAATAATATATTTATTAATCTAATATTAAAATGTTCATATAATTATATTAAAAATGCAAATACATTTTTATGATAGATTAATTTCTATTATTCAAAATATGGGTAATATTTATAATTAATTATTATTATCTTATTAAATTATTGATATGTTTAAATTATTTATCAGATTATATTATCTTAATTGAATAATTCATTCCAAACATTTCAAACCATTTGAACTGAAAAAATTAATAGATGGAAGACTTAATGATATTTTTTCTTTGTCTTCAAACTTAAGTGAATGTTAAGGTTGGTTGTGATTATCATCATATTAATTTTATATTGATCAATTATTTCAGAAAGATGAAAATATGAGTTTAAAATAAAAAATTTTGATACTACATAATCTTCAATTCTGAAAAATTTACGGTAATTTTGATTTTCTTTATATAGGATGCTTTTTTTAAAAATTAATTATTTGCTATTAATTCTTTTTTTGGTTATTCTTTTTAAATATTCTCACTCTAACATTCAACACTAGTTATTTATGAAACAATAGTATTAAAGAGATTAGAATTATAAATTATGATAATTTAATGATTTTTGGATTTCTTCATACTATTATTTCAATTATTAAATTGAAAACTAATGATATTTATTTTAATACATCATGCTTAAATCTTAGAAACCTATTTTATCATATAATGAAAATAAATCTCTAAACTCTTTTCACATTTGTTTAAACAAATTAATCCAATATAATGTTTATAATTTATTTATTTTAATTAAAATGCTTGCATTTTTTCTATTACTTCTTTCTACTTTGTTTGAAATTTCTTATGATATTTATGTACCATTACACTATCAATGTTAAACGATTATGATTAGTCACCAAAATTAAAAATAACATTGATTTTTGTTTTCCTTAAAATTTCCTCTAACTACTAATATTCTAAAATATAGAAAGTCTTAGAATATAAAGTTAAGCTATAAGTTGATCAAGTTAAATCTTTTTCATCAAGATAAATTAGATCTAATTCATTGTTAAATTAATTAAATATATACATTAATGAATTTCAAGGATTATAATAAAATTATAACTCATTATTACTACCATAATTATTTATTATTTAATTCATCTCTTACCTAAAATAAAACTACCTTTAATTTAATTGGCTATTCTGGCCTTATCTATTCTAAAACTTAAAAATATTTCTTACATAAATCTAAATAGTTAAATATCTCAGTTTCTATTTCCTTTGACTTTCAGTTTTAAGAAATCTATATTAGTTTATTAAATATTAGATGATTTCAATTGAAATTTCCACATTATATAATAGAATGTATAATTATGTTCTAACTTTTCATTATTGATTTTATTAAAATTTAATGATAAATATTTGGGTCCTAGAATATTTAAAAATTTTCTCTTCTCATACATTTTATTTCCTGTTCTACCTCTGACATTTATAACTCAAATTTAAATCTAAGTATGTTATATATAAATATTTATTTTTATGTTAGATTACACTTTTCAGCTAATTGCTCTACTTATTCTTTACTTGAATATGGATAGGAATAGTGTTTATTTAACCAGTTTTTTTTAAAATATTTCTTTGGAAACTTTTAACTTTTTTTTCAACAATTTTATCATTTATTTTCATAGTTTATCTTACTTATAATGAACTTAAAGTTCATTTTATAAGATTTAATTCATATAATCCAAATACTGTTGTAATGATTTCATTGTAAATCAAAAAGGATTTAACTTAATGAAGTAATGCGTATGAGAAGAATTTAAAAATGAATTGCAGTTGACTGAGTTTAACTTTAAGAATGAGCTTCGTCTGAATGAGATTGCAACATATCATCACTAAATTATAATAAAATATTGTTAAGGACAATTTTATTAAATCTATTGTTTTAAACCTAGTGTTAAAAAGAATTGCTTTCTAAATTATTAAATCTCAATTACCTATACATCTATCAGTACCAAGTTTTACTGATTCACCATTGCACATTCGTCATATTCATATATTTTATTACCACTACAAGGATCATCTTGACAACAAGCTTAAATATTATAAATAATTAAATATACTCTATTATATATGTATTTTTAAATTGTTCTTATCATAAGTATATTTTCAATATTGAAATCTTCTATAAATATATGAACTTGAGTGAGATTAAGTAAAAATAAAATAATGATAAAGAAAATAAGTTAATCAATTATTAGTTTATAGTTTTAATAAAATAATTTTTATGATGGAGGTAGATTTAATAATATGGAGGAAATTTTACCAAATTCTACAATACTAACTCAAGAATACTTTTATTTCACCTCATAATATGTATTTGAATATGTGATATAATATTAATTAATAATTAAGTAATGGAATATTCTGAAAAGGATGATGATAATAGTTAAGAGAATTCGGATGATTGGTAGAAAACAGATATTTCTTAACATTAAGAAAATAGATTAAAACAATTAGCAAAGGGAATACATGATATGTTTTAGTTGTATGAAACTTTGAGAATGAGGAATGTGAAAAATACAATATTTTGAGTAAAAAGTATTTAAATGAATTTGATTATATAGGTGGTTTGAATTATGGAAATAGTTTGTAAAAGAATATTTAATATTAAACTCTTAACTCAAACTCATGGAATACATGGTTAAAACCAAATTTATAAGAGGAAATTGATTATACTGCGATTTCATAATAAATTTAGAACTATTTGAATAACAATTGCAAAAGTTTTCAAATTGTAAGAAAATTTACTGGATAAGGG